TGCGCGTCCTGAAGCGTTTGATCAGTGCTGCAGCTCCCCTGACTACAATGTCCAGCAAAACATCAGAATAGTCGAAAACCGGTGAAATATCGGGTGGTGTGTACTTCCGAATGTCCAGCAATTCGTCTCTGGTGAAACTGATTGCAGGGATATAACTAAAGACAGGACAAACTAACAAAAACATAAAAACAACTGCGGAGCACGCCACGGAGGCAGCCATCAGCGTCGGCCCCATCTTGCATCTAATTAAACACACCTGAACCAGCAAAACCAATGTCTTTGGGATTACTTGAAAAGTTATCCATGCTGAGTTTACCTAAAACCCTGATCAAACTCACCTACCGGTGGTGATCCTGAAGACCTTGATTAGCTTGTTCAGGAGTGATTGATCAGGGTTGAAGCTAAACTACGCAGGCCATTGGCCCTCCAGAGCAAGATCTGAGCAACTCTAGAGTAGATGATGCAAGACTGTTTAATAATTATTGGTTTACAGGAAAGAAAAAAAAAATTAACATACAACATCTCATCTACAAGCGTTTCATCTACATGAAAATCTGCTAGAAATGTCATGGCTGAGGAGATAGGGAGGCTTGACACTATTTTACAGTGTACTTCTATTGGTCCCATATATAGATTGTAGCATACAGGCCTATATTTGCCACAATAATTAGAATAACTAACCCATACACAGGTATGTTTTAAGATTTGAGAGTTTGTTTTGTCTATTTCTGTATTTGTTCTGTATTCGTTTCTAAATTTCCATTCAATGTTAAACTATTTAAATATCTTTTAGCACTACATTCTGTAATTACCACAATAAACTCATGTACACAATTTAAAACGTCCAGCAGTGGGTTGGTTGTAACAGCACTCTTTGTAATTTGACATTAATCTACACAATGTAAAGATAAGCAATACGTTTCAAAACAACTTTAATTTGTATTAGGCAAATATGGGAATATAATTTCAAAAAGTCTGAGACAAATATTGCTTAAAAAATCGTGTTACAACACTCATCTACTAGCTTTTATAACGTTACATATAAAGTCAGGAACAAGGAAACATTGTTCTGGTCTGTCTGGGTAAAGCGAGAGATAGATTTTCTTTAGATTAAACCAGAAAATGGTGAGTTGAAATAATAGGCAATGGCAATCAGCTTTTGAATCAAATAGTTTCGCACCTGTTGGAGCTCATTTGCAGTTGCAAATTTCGCCCTGGTCCAACATACCATCACGCTATATCACACTGCTGCCTTTGTTTCTGATCAACCCCTCCTCTCTTAATCGTTGATTATTTTATTTTTTATCCCAATGTTATACAAGATTGCTTTCCTTTTCTATGTCTATTAAAAGCTTTAAGCCTAATATCATCTGTTGCTCTGCATCATGCTCTTCCTGGTTTGTAGCCGTTTCCTTGGGCACGACCGTGTTTAATAAAAGTTTCCTCCCTCCCTTAGATTAAAAAAAAAAACGCTGCGTGCTGGAACACTAATCAACTCAGTGCGTGAATTTGTAGTTCCTCGTTTGCGCTTTAAATTGATCGTAAATTGAGAGCATAAGTGAATGCATACCTGTGTTACGGCATTTGAACTGGTTCAAACTTCTTCAGCAAGCCCAGTGTTTTGTGTTAATGAATGCAGCTTCAGCTCACTAGAGTAATACGCTCATGCTGATGTGCATCCGGCGGCATGTGCGAGCTTCCTAGCTGTACTGGCCCGCCCGGCCCCAAAATTACATTTTTGCCGACGATCAGCTCGTGTTCACGTGAACTACCTGTTTGGACCAATCATTGCAGGTTACAGGGGCATGCATGCACCCATGGTGATCAATGGCATGTCTCGTGACTCCTAGGACTAGGGGGTCAGTAGGCCCCACTGTGTTTTAAAAATATCCACCACTTTTCCTCCCATAAACATGAACCCACTAACTTCTGCATGCTTTCACATTGACCAGTGTAGATTTTTTTTTTCTGTTCAGTGCATTATTCATAATAAGATAATTGTGTATCTGTGTTCAATTTTGTGCACTGAAGCTGAAAATGCAAAGGAAAGTTGTTAAGTACTGTTGTCTCGGGAACAGGCACTCATGACACCCATGGTTGTTGTCAAGTTGTTTCTTGTGACCTTTTATCACACTTTTTTTATTGCAATTCTATATCTATAAGTTTATATCTCACTTTTTTTCTCACAATTCTGAGGGGGGAGAAAAGTCAAATTGTATGATATAAATTTGCAGTTGCGAGAATTTTTTTTTTTTTTAATTCCGAGATGAGTCAGAATTCTGAAAAAAAGTATGAATGCGGCAATTTATACTTTTTTAAACCATTTATATTCATTTTAATGTATACATTTAAATTAAGATTATTTCTTAGTGTTTAATATTTTTTATATGTGTTTGATCATAATGGGATTGGGATGGGATTATATCACATAAAAATCGAACACAAAAGCCTGAATACTGAATTGCAGAAATGTACAAAATATTAAAAGTATTTTTAAATACTTTTAATAATTAAGAGTTTATTTTAATTATTTTATTTCCATTATTAAGAGTTTTAAAAAGGCATGTTTTTTTTAAATGAACAAATACATGATATTTTATATTTAATTCAAATCGAAGCTCAAAGAATCATTCATCATATAGGAGTCAGAATTATACTCAGTTTCATCGTGGAGACATTGGGAGACTGCAGTATACCTGATCCTACTGCTGCCACAAGTGATGCGCAGATGGTGTGGAAAATCCATAGATAAATCCAGATACAGGAATCCCAACATTGGAACATTATAGGGCCAAAAAACAGCCACAATCAGCAGAAAAGGAGAAGCTGTTTTAGGCGCATGAGTTGTGAAATAGTGAACTAAAATAGACTGTAGAGAAGGTTATCAGGAGAACAGCTGTTCAGGCTTGTTCATTCTGAATCAGTAAGACATATAAGGTGACAAGAAGAGGTCAAATGGAGTCATGCTGACACTGATTTGAATGATAATAATTGGAAGTATTGTGCTTGGAAAAGTATTTTCAGACAGGGTTACAGCACTGAATGCTTAAATGACAGCTGATGTGACACTTATGCAGGCACATCAGTATATGTATAGTGGCAGCGGGGGGGTCATTTGTGAACCTCTGTGATTGACACTGCAGGGTGTCAAAACTGGTAATGGAACTGCTGTAGAACTTCCAGAACATATGATCCCTTCCTGTATATATATTTAAAACAATTTAATGCATTTCCTCCCAAGAAAGGATTAGCATAACAAATTAAGGTAAAAGATTAACTGAAAAATGTAACACAAGTTTCAAAATGGCTGTGTCCGAAATCGCATATTCTCTGAGTAGGTACTTTTACTGGATAAGTAATTACTTCACAACTGTTAAAAAAGCATGTTCTGTGTATGAATAGTAGTATGACGCAGATCAGATGTACTACATTCATAATATTGACATTGTCATGTGACCTACCAGTGTAAGTTGCATCACTGTCATTCACAAGTCCACTTCTGTGGCCTTATGGGATAGAAAAGTGTCTATTATTGGATGTGGACTTAAGAATCTCATCAGAAGAAGAAGGTCATCTGGGTACTTTTTGCCTACTGTTTTATGAATACTGTGAATTCTGGCATTCTACTCTTTTCACATACTGTTTTTCACCTACCGTATGTAGCTAATGTCTTTGTTTCTTTATTTTTCAAAACCCTAAACTTTCTGATTATTTTCAGGTTTAAATTAGATTTTGAAACTCAGATTTTCAATTAGGTCCAGGATGTGGATATAGATATTTTGACAATATATTACACTTTAGTACTCTTGGACATGAGGAGAAAATCAAATAGCTTTGTAAACAGTAACGTTGGACTGTCAGTGAGATAAGAGTTCCATGATTCTCACACAAATATTGTTATAATGTTACAGGCATCAAACAAGCAGAACCTTATACTCAAGCACAAAAACTGTGAACGTTCATCCTGGGCTAGCGTTTCAGCTTGAGCAACCAAATATTTCCAAACAGCTGAGAAAAAGAACTCTGATCCCAGAAGGTCATCACTTTCACTAGCCTAATACAAGTTAAAACAGACGGTTACAGAGGGGGAATTTGCTGTTTTGTTTTGTCAATATTGGATCAGTGATGGTTGAGTTGCCCAATGAGGGTCTAGGGAATAAGTAACAAGGTTTTTTATAAACAGCTGCTAATACATCCAAGACTTTGAGCCATGATTTTGGATTCGATATTGTAAACAGAAGTATGTTGATCTGATAAAGACAAACGGGTTACGTGCTTGACGAATCATACAACTATTGTATTCCTTCAGAATTACTTTTTTGAACCACAGATCTTATTTTATACATATTTGAAAAATATGCTCTATATGAACTGATCCCTGCTGTAAAAATAATAATAATAATAATAATAATAATAATAATAAAAATACAGATTAAGATGGTTTCTGATTTAAGCTGTTTTGGTTGCTCATAGAACTGGTTTTAGCGGGGTTTAGGCACTTTTTAATCAGGAAGGCATTGGAAACAAACCATCAACAATAATAGCAGGAATGTCTATTAATATGGTAAACTGTTTTATTTTGATTTCATATATATATATATATTTATTTATTTATTTATTTATTTTTAATTTCATATTATTGTTGATATTTAGGCTTTTTTATTTTTTTATTTCATATTATTGTTGATATTTAGGCAGATTTCCCTACATAACACTTTGCAGAGTGTTTGTTTATCATTTCTCTTAATTATATTCAGAACAAAATTGTCTCCCCTGAATTTTTTCTTGGCGGAAACTGTGGTTACCATGGTAATAAGACATTATATATATGTATACACATTTTTTTATTTTTATTTTTTTTATTGCAGTAAACAACAAGGATTACAGTACGTACAAAACAAACAGTAAAAAACAGTACGTACAAAACATACAAAATACCAATCAATAATAAACTACTTGAGGATTATATTTGACCGTTTTGGTCATTTGCAAGCGGAAGTTTTACTCTGACACTTCCCGGAAGTTCTCCCCAAACTGTTTTCGCTGCCAGAGGGGGATTTGAGTGCGAAAATGGCGACGTCTCGTTGCACTTCCCAGCAGCAACAACAACAAAACTTATCCTCCCCACCAAGACCCGACCCCAGTCCCCTCACGCCTCCAGAATCACCCACAGACACCGGCGTCTCTGCGGCTGGTGGGGAGCCGGAAAGCATCGGGGATCCGGAGATCACTGCAGAAATCCCTGCTCCGCTCCTCAGCAGCAGTAGCAGCTCCAGCTCGAGCAGCACTAGCTCGTCTACCACCGGCGGGGGCAGTAGTGCGGGCTCCACTCCCGACTCCGGTAGTGCCAGTCCTGGAGGCAGCGTCTGCGGGACGAGTGGGGCTTTCAGGGAGCTATTTGAGGCCTGCAGGAATGGGGACGTGTCTCGGGTGAAGAGGCTGGTGGATTCGGTCAATGTAAACGCAAAGGACATGGCCGGGCGCAAGTCCACCCCGCTTCACTTCGCTGCAGGTAAATACAAATATATAAATGTTTGCGATCAATCTCGACCTGGAAAGCAGCCAGGTAGACGGTTTATCTCGCTAAATAAACGGTAAGATGGGTTTAAAGGAAAAGGGGTCAAGTGGAATAAAGTAGAGTTTGCCCAAGTTAGCCAACAGGATACAACATTTAGTAGAAAGTTAACCACTCCGCGAGCTAAATCGGTCTGCTCGTGTTTGTTTTCGTTTGATGTGTTGCCGAAAGTGAATAAAGTTCAACATACAGGCTGAATGAACCGCAGTGCACCGGGAGATGATCGATAAAAGTAATAAACATCGTAATAAAGTTACAATTTGTCCTCGAATGTCCAAAATTCATGTTTACTTTGGTTCGCATTATTGTATGATAAACTGAAACCGAACCCTCTCATGTTACCTGTGATCCTCCAGAGCTGCCAAAACACTGTTTTACAAATTAATAATAATAATGTTGAAATTTCTATATACATGTTCATTCTTCATTTTATGCTCAACTAGAAATGCTCTTTGTAAATGCAGCCACTACATTAGGTTTATTAGGGGCAGTTTTAAAACAAATTAAGGAGCCATTTGATATGTCCCGCCCCAGCTTCCTGTTGCAGTAGGAAATATGTCCACACAGAAAGGAAAACTGTACTTGCCAAACATATTTTATTTTAAATGTAAACTAATACATTTCTTGTTGGAATAAGCATGTCACTGAAGGGTATTTGCCTCTTTAGGATGCTTATAATGCATGCATTATATCAATAAAATGATTGAATGATCCTTGTACACACATATTAAACTTCATTGTGGTCTATTGTGGGAAACCGGTTTATTTCCTTCCTCTTCATATCCAATAGTATTCTCAGTCTGTAACCAAAACAAACCAAAACAAAGCAGTTTTCTGTTGAAACAGGTTCTCATATCATGACTAAAATCATAGATAAGATTTGGCAATCAATGGAAAGAACAGCAACACTAGTGTAAAATGATTTTCTTGCTAGACGTGACTGATATGCATGTTGTAAACCTGATTAACTGACATTTTTGTCTCGCAGGTTTTGGAAGGAAAGACGTTGTGGAACATCTCCTGCAGACGGGGGCGAATGTGCACACAAAAGACGATGGAGGTTTGATCCCGCTACACAACGCCTGTTCCTTCGGTCACGCCGAGGTGGTCAGCTTGTTGCTTTGTCAAGGAGCCGATTCCAATGCCAGAGACAACTGGAATTACACTCCGCTCCATGAAGCCGCCATCAAGGGCAAAATTGACGTATGCATCGGTAAGCCCCCCTTCTTCTGTCTCTTCTACACCGACAACAATGGTATATCATTGGAAAAGTTGGCTTGTGCAACCTGAAACGTGTTTCTCGAGTTGAAAGTGTTGGTTTGGATTCGGATGGGGAACATGTCAGCTTCGTAGATTGAGGAGACGAATGGTACAATCTCGCCTTAGTGAATTCTGAAGATGTATGACTTTAATTTTTCCTGTGTTTTGCCTGAGGAACAGTCCTCAATATGGGTTAATCATGTGGCATTCTTCTTGATTAGCCACGGTGACTGGCAGTATTACACAGCTCTCAGTTATTAATCAGATCTTTACTGCTTGGTATTCATGAGAAATTTAACATTGCATCTGAGGAGTGAAGAGAGCCGATAATGTGGTTATGGAATGCTGTTAAACATTTTAGTCCTCCGTTTCATGCATTACAATGGGAAGATCATGAAATAATATGCTTGATGCGCTTCCCAGTCTGTGTTTTACGTAATTAGGCGGCGGATTTGCGTCGTGAGTTTGTTTCTAAAATGAAAAGGGTATTTTAAATTGTATTGTGGTTGTATTTTCTATTTTTTTGAATTTTTTTTTTAGTTATCCGAATTTGTTCAAAAAGAAAGTAGTCTGCTGCTCATAGCAATCTTATCCAGAGTGCCACTTGCTACATTTTTAGCATAATCCAATTAAATGGGAGAAAATTCAAAATTTTTTAAAAACTGAGATAAGAATTATCTGCACAATCTTAGGGAGAATTCAGAGGCCTCAGGACACGCATGTAATTTCACATCTCTCAATCTAAAAAAAGATTGAAATAGATGTTCTCTGGCTTTTATCTTTGCACTTGTTCATCAGAAAAATTATTTTGGAGAGCTTTAGACAGGCTGTGTCGTTCCATGTACAAGTAGACCTCCCATTTTTATACATCAGTCTAGAGTATGCTGGAAATAAAACTTCTGTCCTTGAGATATTTTTGATTCAGTATTGATCACAACATTCTGCAAGATAGGCCTTATAGAGGGAAGTTAGTTCAAATTGTAGATTTATGCTGATGCACCTAAAGCAATAGAGGTTTGTTTTTTGTTTTTGCCCATTGCTTTAAAGCATACCAGGCAACCTCTTTTCAATGTGTCGTTTGTTGCCGTCATCTCTGGTTGACGCCCTAATTGTTCATAATCCTCAGGCTTGGTTGGTTTTTAATAGAGCCAGTAACCAAAATAAACATTTAGCTTTACCAGGATGTTTGCACATGCCTCAACCAGAAGGTGTGTTTCGATTCAGACAGGACATATGGCCACTTTTGGCTTTTGTTATATTCTATTACCATGTAATGGAACTGTGGTATGCTTTTGCATTGCTTTTTGATAGTTTTTTTTTTAATGTAAACATGCAGATGGACATTGTTGTTCACATGTCACTATTTTTTCAGCATTTTGTGCATGAGCGCCATGTTTTAAAAACGTTTATTAGTTCCACTTTTTATTTGTAAACATTAATAGCTAAAGAGGTTTTGCACATTTATTTATATATATATATTAGGGGTGTGCGATATTGACAAAAAATTATATCTCGATATTTTCTGGGATTTTATCGATAACGATAATTAGACGATATTTTGCTGAGTGTGTTATTGTGCTGGTATCTTAAGGACTGCCGAAGACAGCTGACTCCTAATGTTTTTAATATTCTTCATATTCTGTGTGGTGGTCAGTTCATACTGATAAGTACTGAAATCCAATAAGTTTAAACTGATTTTTGCATTTTATGGGCATTTTCACCTTTAAAAAGCCATTTTTTCTAAAAGTGTCCATTATCTTTTGAGTCAAATTCTTACATTTAATCAGGGAATTAGAATAATAAGACATTTGGGCTGTTACCAAGCAAATTAAATCAACACAGAAGCTGCATCTGAAGTGGCATTTAGATGTATTTACACACATGTATTTTGTGTCTCACAATGCAAGACATGAATGCATTTAACCTGCAATTACAAATGCATAAATAATGTTTTGATATATTAAACATAAAACGTTGAATACTGATATTTGAAATGATTTAAAACATGAAAAAAAGAAAAAAAAGAAAAAAAAAGAAAAGAAAAGAAAGAAAAAGCCGAAATGTGAAATTAAAACCGCCAGCAGGTGGCAGCAAATCACTGTTAATAAGTGAGTCATTGCGATTGAACCGAATCATTTAAACAGTTGATTCATTCAAGAACGAAACACCGTCATGTTGCTCAGAGACACAAAACAGCACTGTGGCTGTATTCGGAATGATTTTTGTTGGCGAAATAGAGCAAAAACAAGCAATATGGTGTCTAAAACGTAAGTCTCTTAATTAACTTATTGTTTATTGAATTCAATGTCACATTTGTAATCATGGTAATTTTTGGAGAAAAACGGCACTCTTCGTGTGAAATTGAATAACTATATGAAGTGGTATAAATATATAAATTTTCTGCCATCATGTCTTGAATTTGTGATCATTCTAAATGCATTTTAATAGACTGAATCATGCAGTGAAAGAAAACACACTAAATGCGCACACGCACTAGTCTAGACTTCACGTAATGTATGCGTGCGCTCTGTAGGGATGTTTTGAATGGTTTTTGCAAAATACTCGATAATGTCAAATCGCACATCGTTAAAACAACAATTACGATATCGCAGACGATATATATCGCACACCCCTAGTAGTTTATATGATAAAATGATCTATATTTTTAAGATATACAATACGTTTAAATTATTTAAACATACATTTGTGTTGCAACTCCTGCACTGGTATACTAGTGTCCTTTTTGGGAAATATTTTGACTGTATGAAACAATGTATACATCACTTACATGCTTTTATGGTGAAAACACTTCTTTTTCATGTCAACTCATTTATTTTGACTATAAACAACCTGGTATCTGTTAACATGGGCACAGAGAAAATGATGCGCCGCTTACACATCTTGTGCGAAACGGACCTGAAGTCCTGGCGGAAAAGGGGTGCAACAGTGTATAAGTGTGCGAATGTGTGATGATGGATATGTGAAATGTATTGCACTGCTCACAAGTGTTCTTTCTTTCTCTTTCGTCAGATTGTATGAAGGGAAGGAACAGGCCGAGTTTGAGGAATCTCTCAAAAGTTTATTTGAGTCGATCAATAACCTGATGAAAAGTGACTACACCACTACACTACTGCAGCAGGTATGAATAGTTGAATTCAGTTTATGAAATATATAGCTATAGCTATATATAGCTGTGTATATAAAGTATGTAGCTATATAGCTGTCAGTACAAAGGAGTCACTTGATACAATAAGTGTCACGAATTAGCTGTTGATTAATGACGTAGAAATAGTGCAGAATCTGACATAATTCATTTCACATCATAGCTTTTCATTGTTTTAGAAATATTTCAAAATATTATTTAATTTTTATAATATTTATAGTTTTAAAATTGTATATAATTTATGGTATACATGTATTTATACATTTATATTATTTATTACAATTATATATGTGTTTGTGTGCGTGTGTGTATTTGTGCATTTATGCATGTATATATATATATATATATATATATGTACACATTTATGTACACACTTGATTTTTATATCTGTATGTGTGTATATATAATCATTATATATGACAAATCATATTTAAAACTTTATATATTATATAATAAATTATATAATTATATAATTATTATTTATATAATTATATAATAAAAATATATCAAATATAA